GGGGGTCCCCATCTCAGCTCCAACCCTGGCCAAAGTCCTCTCCCTCCTCCACTCACTCAGCCTTGTCTTCCCCCCAGTGGGCCAGCTGTGAGGCTGGTTTGCAACCACCCTTGACAATCCGCATCTCTGCCTAGCACCTCTCCTTGGAGCTGGATGGCTAACTTCTCAGTGTCTTTGCCAAAACATCAATGTAACACCTTGGAACATTAAAACAAAATTTTACCAAAAAAAGTATTTCCCAGCAGCTGTCCTCACGTGTCTCACTGGCTAGAGCACTGGCACGGTGAAGAAGGGTAGTCAAGTCAGAGTCTAGCAGAGGGGGCTGAGAGCACTGTGCACAGCCCAGACGGTCCAGATTCATCCCCGGGCCCCAGTGCACTGCAGTCCCGAAAAAGTCTGGGTTCTGCTGTTAGCAACAAAGCTGGAGGGGGTGCGGGTGAGCACCGGGGGCTGAGGGGTAAATTAGCTGCTGCTGGCCACACTAGCCCTGACTCATAAGACCCGCCCCAGAGTGGCCCACGATCCTTGGGATCGCTGCGGGGCCAGAGATGACAATTCAGAAATGACAAGCCTTGCCTCCATCCCTGGCTTCTGCACTGAGGGGCTGGTCAGGAGACCCAGAGCTAGAACAAGTGATGTCAAGACGGGCCAGTCACTTTCTAGCTCGGTGGCCTCAGGTAACTCGTCACATCCGTCTGTGTCCCTCACTTTCCACCTGAGTGAGACAGGAATGAGCCTCACAGAGCCATTGCCTGCCTCAGCTAACAATTAATTAGGACTCCTAATTGCAAGTGACAGAAATTACCTCATACTGGCTTAAGAAAAACAATTTTTTTTATTTAATTTATTGAACCATCCGGGGAGAGATGGCTGCCTGCCCGGCAGGGCCAGGGGTCAAACAGCATCCTGAGGCTCCCGCTCTGTACTCCAGTACTGGCTTTGCCTCACACACCCTCCTCCACACAAGTGCTCCCGACCGCCCCAGAGGTAGCTCCTTCTGCTCCACCAGGCCTGAGGAAAAGGGAATGTCTACACAAATTGATTCCGCAAAAATTCCGGGGCTGAACCCATCACTGTGGCCAGGGAGTGGAGCACAGAGAGTGATGGACTTCCATCAGCTACCATGTGAGCAAGGAGGGGAGAGAGTAGTTCCCAAGAAATAAAAGGCAGGCTATTGCTAGTAGAGAGAAAGGCTGCCAAGCAGGGGCAGGAAGAAGAGAAAACCAGGCAGGGCAGCAGAGAAAACTCCTGGAGGCAGGCGTGCGCCGTGGGCTCTGGGCTCCATCCTGGGACTCTGAGTGGTTGTCCACAGGACCTATTCGGAGCCAGTATGGTGGAGTGGGAAACAAGCAGGGAGCTTCTAACCGGATGAGGAAAGATACTTCCTCCGAGCTCCTCAAAAGTAGGAAAGTGGGTGGGGGGATGGGTTAGCCTGGTGATGGGTATTAAAGAGGGCACATTCTGCGTGGAGCACTGGGTGTTATGCTCAAACAATGAATCATGGAACACTGCATCAAAAACTAATGATGTAATGTATGGTGGTTAACATAACAATAAAAAAATTATTAAAAAAAAAAAGGGCAAACCAAAAAAAAGAAAAAAAAAAAGTAGGAAAGTAAGGCCAACCGAGCAGAACCAGAGAAAATGTAGGATACTGCCCCATCTCACAGAGAGGGACGTGGGCTGACCAGGGTGGAATTTACATAACAGTGAGAAACACAGTCTTCCACATGTTTCTTGGTGTGGCCTTTATCCTGTTCTGGTCTCTCCGTTCCTAGGTGACGAGAGATGACACTTCCTCAGACGGGCTGATTCTTAAGGTTAATTGAAAGTGGCCTTTCTCATGAATCATCCATTGCACTGAATTATTAATCACCTGCAGGCATTTGCAGGCCTTTAAACACTTGGACTTCCTGCAACCCTCCTTGGAAATGCTTTTGCCAATTGAAATATGACTTCCTTTTGGCCACGGAAAATAGAAACCCTGTCTGCCGCTGTTTCCAGATTTCCCAGCTCCCAGAGATCCAAGATCTGAAAACAGGAAGCTGGACCAGGGCTGCAGCTCGACCTGGAGGCCTTTGTTATGTGAGCAGGCTCTAGGTCAGTCGGGCTCAGGGCCCCTCTGAGACCGTGGACAGAGGGGGTCCAGGCGCTGGGTCTAGCTCTACCACTTACTGGGTGGTCCGTGGAACTTCTTCGATTCTGTTTCCTCATCTGAAGGAGTGGTCCCAACTCTGCAGGGCTAATACAACATAGGGTTCAACAGGTCATGTACACTGAGCCTGCATCATGATGCCCAAAACATAAGGAGCAGCAAGAAAGGTGAAGTCCCCCCTGACACCTGCTCTCATCTTCCAGTGGAGGAAAAAAGACTCAAAACTCAATGGGCTGGCTGCATGTGTAAGGTGGTCGCAGGCTAAGCTAGCAATGTGAGTGCAAGACCCAGCAGCCAGTCTACAGGGCAAGGCCAAGAGCTCCTGGTGGGCCCCAAAGTGTGGGCCCAGGATGTGTGTGATGCATGGATGACAATGGCAGAAACCAGGGGGCAGCTGATCCTGAGGGTGCAAGCCTTTCATCCACCTTTCAGCACAGCCTCAGCCCCTGAGGCAGATATTGGGATGCTAAGCTGAATAAAGCATGGCTCCCTGCCTTCATGAAGTCCTGGTCTGCTGGGGAGAGTGAGGTGGGGTGATAGTCATGGGCACTGAGCGCTGCAGAGGGATGGTGGCGGGGGGCATCCGGGGGGGGTGAGAATGGGGAGGGGAGCCTAGAAGACATAGCAGGGGAGGAGGTATTGGGTTGAATCTGAAGATTCAGAGAGGAAGTTGATGCAGTGCTCCAGGTTAAAGATAGCAGAGACCTGGGAGAAGTTTTTGGTGGTGATGGAGTTGGACAGAGGAAAAAGAGCCGGCAGAAGCAGGCCATGCTTGGATGTGGGTGGTGAGAAAAGAAGACCGGGAAAGGAGCCAGGAGGCCTTGCAAGGCAGAGCATGGGGCTGGAGGAGGATGGGCAGCTCTGGACCTGACACTTCCGGACTGGCCACAAGGCATTCCCTTTTCCAGAAGCACCCACTCATGGAGCTTCAGGCCAATTGTGGAGATGGCTGGGTGTGAATGGGTGCCATGCCCTGTCGGGGCATTCGGGCCAGGCAGGGCTGCTAGGAAGGGGGTCATGGCAGCTAAAATGTTACCACACAAGGACTACGTGGACCTCGCTTACTGCTTGGTCCGCTTGGGGCCCACTGAGAGCTTTAAGCAGTGGGAGGAAGGAGAATGTAAACCATCCCTCCCAGAGGGCTGCAGGACACTGTGGCTCCAATGATGTCTGCATCCTAATGTTTGGGACCTGGGACTGGGTTACCTTGCATGGCAAAGGGGACCTTGCAGAAGTGATTAAGATAAAGATCTTGAGTTGGGGCAATTACCCAGGATTATCTGGGCAGGCCCCACCTAATCACAGAGGTCCTTATAAGAGGGAGGCAGAAAAGTTGATGAAAATGACAAGGATTGGGGCGCCTGGGTGGCTCAGTCAGTTGGGTGTCCAGCTCTTGATTTCCGCTCAGGTCATGATCTCAGGGTTATGAGATGGAGACCTGCGTCAGGTTCTGTGCTCAGCAAGGAGTCTGTTTAAGATTCTTTTTCTCCCTCTGCCTCTCCCCATGCTCATGCTCTCTCTCTCTAAAAATAAAGAAAGAATAAAAAATAAAGAATATGACAAAGATTCAGAGAGATTAGAAAATGCTGCTGCTGGTTTTGAAGATGAAGGAAGGGGCCACTTATAGGCAGCTTCTAGAAGCTGGAAAAAGATGGGAAATGGATTTTCTCCCAGCTTCCAGAAGGAAGCAGCCTTGCAGACCCATTTCAGTCTTCTGACTTCAGACTGCAAGACACTGCATTGTTTTTAACTAATAGGAAACTGACATTCAACTCAGACCTTAGGGGAAAGATGAGGAGGCTTTGAGGGAGAGGCAGACCCCATACCCTGAGATATCACCAGCATCACCAGCCCAGCAGAAGCAAAGGTCAGAGTCCCAGGTTCTCCAGACACTCCAGCCAATAGGATGTGAGGGAGGGGAATGCTGGTAGAGGAAATTCCCTGCCTCCTCCAGGCTCCTAGCAGGCTTCCGGGGTGGAGTGGAGAGAGAGGCCCTACTGGGTAGAGATGCAGGGACCCCCTTCTCACCTGACCACGAAAAAAAAGTAGCCACACTTCCTCCCGCCCCTGCGAAATGAGGGGGACCCCAGTTCACCACCCATCCCGCCTCGGGTCAACCAGAGCTCGGGCAGGATGGAGCTGCACACACTGACAGCCTGGTGAGCTCCCCATCTTGTCTACTCAGCCTCCTCTGGACCGTGATAAGCGCAGGTGCCAGGCAGGAGCGGGGCCCATACTCGCTCTTTGGACGCGACCTACAAGGCTGTAATACAAGACCGACCCTCCCTCTCCGCACACATATATTCCTTTCGGTCCCCAGCTACAGACGCCGCCTCAGGGTCTCAGATGCTCCCACCAGAGCGCCCCGCAGGGACGCTGGGCTCTGCCCCAAGAGGGGGCGCATCCTCCAATGGGGCGCACGCCGGGTGGGAGCGAGCACAGAAACTGGAGAGCCCTTACTCGAGCCTCCCGTCAAGGCCGCGTCCACTGGTCTCGACTGGCACTACCCCTGCGGTCTGATCATCATCACTACAATAATAGGGGCTGCGGGTATCGAGGGGACCCAGACGACGCCACCCTGGTCACATAATCACCACTGTAGTGGCTGGCACGCGCTGTGCACCCCTAGCCCCTCACCTTCAGGCCAAGTCACCGATCTAAGCCGTGTCCATTACATACTTTCACCCAGAGGGAGTACTCTTACTAACCCAACTGAGGACAGAGAGCCCAGAGTGATGAAGGAAATTGCCCCAAGTGGGGAGCCGGCGTCGGAACCCAGGCGGGCCAGCTGCAGAACCCGGGCTCTCCGTCGCCTCATTATCTTGTGTGTTTCGATGGCGGACGTATGAACTTCAGCGCCGCACCGCGCAACCCCGCGGCCGGACAGGCGGCGCGGGGACCCGGGACCCCGCGCGGAGCGTCCGCCCTGGGAGCCGGGCAGGCCCCCGGAGCCCGGGTGGGTGCTGGGCCAGGGGCGTTGGGGGTCGGGGGGGGCGCGCAGCCACAGCCTGCGGGGGGCCGCGGAAGGTGGAGGCACACTCCTAGATCAGCAGGTGGCTTTGCCCAGGCGGCCAGCGTGAAGGGCCGGGTGCTGAACCCTCCATCAGACGCGGCGGCGAAGGCGTTAGCCCTGGCCTCTCGGAGCCGGGGGCCCTTGCACCCCACCCAGCCCGAGCCGCGGGGAGCCCCGGGCACCCCGTGCGGCTCAGCCCGGAGCCCTGCGCGGCTCCCCTCTGGGGCAGCGAGCAGCGCCTGGCCGGGGCGGAGCTGCGGCGTCCGGGGGCTGGCTGCCTGCCTGCCCCCTGCGGTCGTCTGCCAGGGCCCGGGCGCGACGAGGGACCGCCCCCGCGCCCTCCCGACGGCCCCCGCCGGGCCTTAAAAGCCTGCCCCGCGGCGGCTGGAGGCGCGGAGACCTGGGCGCGCCAGCCCGGACAGCCGGCCCGAGGAGCCCCATGGCAGGTAAGTGCCCCCGCCCCACCCTGGCCCCCAGTGGCCGCCCTCTGCCTCGCCCCGCCTGCCCCGCTGGGGCGCAGCCAGCACCTTGCATGTGGCTCCTAGCGCGGGGCGGAGTGAAGGGGAGAGTGAGACCCTCTCCTCTCAGACGGTTGCGGGTCAGGAAGGATGGGGGCCCCGCCTTCTCACCAGTCCCCTCGGTCCAGATCCCAGAGCCCGGGGAAGCCCCTTGTCCTCACGTGACCCTAAAGAGGCACCTTCTTCGCCCATCGAGGGCAGGCAGCCGGCGCCTGGGAACGACCGTGCCAGGGTTCTCAGGGGGCGCTGAACGCGAGTGGATCCAGCCAGGCCCCCGCAAATGACGGGGTGCAGGCAGCGAAGGGTCCTTGTGTCTCTGTTTCTCACACGCCCCTTTCCTCATCCACACTCCCTTCTGTAGTCCTCAACTGACTCCCCTAAGTGGGTTCATCTTAATAGAGGGTTGAGGAAGGGATTGGGTTTTAGAGAAGGTTACAGAATTCAAACATGAGTCCAGCCTCTCAGCAGGTTCCAAGACCCCAGAGGATAGGGCTAGGAATGCAAACCAGGGCATCATCCCTTCCTGGGCTTTCCTTAAGTACATGATGCCCACACTCAGGCTTACTCTCAGCCTGAACAGGAACCCAGGGAAGATAAAGTTCTGGTAAGAGCAGATTGAATGTCTAATCAGGAGCACAAGAAAATGGTTCATGGCTGCTTTCCAAAGGAACAGGAAGCCTGCTTCTGTGTCACTCCCGGGATCCAACCCAGGGGGTGGGGTTGCTGCCCAAAATCGGTCCCCCAGCAGGCCAGTGATGTGAGGGGGAGTGGCTTTCCCCAGGCATCACAGTCCTGGTGGTCTCTGCCCCCCAGAGCAGGTGGCCCTGGTCATTGGGGGCCTCGCTGGGGGGCTGCTGCCTCTCCTGCTCATCTGGGTGAGCTGCTGTCTCTGGAAGAAGCTTCGTGCCACGTTCACCTATGAGGAGCTGCCGGGGAGCACCGCTGCCTCCGGCATTCAGGGGGACAAGCTCTACCCACCACATGCCGGGACCCAGCCAAGCAGGTGAGGCAGGATGTGGGGCCAAGCAAGCTCCTGGCCTTGCTTAGGGCCCTCCCCGTAGAGTTTCCCTTGGAGTAGGATGCGAAAAGGAGGTCTGTTTATGGAGCGCCTCCTCTGTGCTACAAAGAAACCCCAGAATCATCACTACGAGCTATGGGGCAGGCATGATGAGGCTCATTTTCCAGATAAGGAAAGACATCCGTGACAGGTCCAAGGAGCAGGACTAGTAAGTGCCAGAACAGGCATTAGAGTCCAGGCAGAGTGACTCCAGAAGCAGTGCTCCTTCAGCAAGTCTCCGCTGGCTGAGGACAGACAGAGGTGTTGGCTTTGCGGGGGGCGGGGGGGGGAGGAGGGGGCGGCGGCGGGGGGCCCAGAAAATGATGCTCTTGCCTCCTCCTCGCTCCTACTGGCTTTTCTTCCTGCAGCCTCTGGCACTCAACCCCTATGGGCTGAGCGCACTGAGGCCACATTGTTCACTTGCCACCAACACATGTGTCATCTCCCCACCTCGGAACAGGCCCACAGGTGTGCCATTCGTGGTGCCCCCTTCCCTCCAAGACCGAGACTGGGTACCCCTACACCGTGGAGAGTGGGCCCAGGCCCCACGGGACCCCTGCCTCGCCCTGGAGCCCATGCCCCACACCTCCAGCGGCAGCTTTGGTGAGTGCTCCTGCCAGAGCCCACCTGGGCTCAGGCTCTGTTCAGGCCAGGGCGGGCCCATTTGCTTTCATGGGCCTGGTTCTGGAAAACAGCCTGGACCAGCAGCCCCCCCAGTGAGGCCCCCAATTACCAGGTCTGCTTGTTCTGGGGGCAGAGACCACCATGGCTGTGATGCCTAGGGAAAGCCCACACCACTGGCCTCCTGAAGGCAGAATTTGGGCAGTAACCCCACCCCCTAGGTTGGACCCCAGGAGTGAACCAGAAGCAAGAGTGTTGCTGGCTGGGCTCTGCTGGTTCTCAGCGGTAAAGCCATTTCCCTTGGGATCCCAGTGCTCTGGGCAGAGTCTTCTGGTTTCCCTTGGAGAGAGTTGCCCAGTGACCACTCCTTCAAGGTACTTGGGTTTACTGAATGCCTGCTGCACCCCCAGTTTGGGCCAGATATGGCCTCAGGTGCCGTTGTGGAGTTAGACCTCACCATGCCTCTGTGGGGGAAGAGATCTTCACCCCATTTTATACATTCATAAACGGAGGCTCAGAAAGTTAACAGTGCCCTGCTCAAGGTCGCAGAGGCAGTAAGCAACAGATCTGGGATTGGAACCCAGAACGCTCAGTGGGTTCTGTTCTAGGTTGATAGCTTGGCTGATCCAGAGGGCAAAATGGTAGGAGCTGGGCACACAGCTTTCTGCCCACCCCTTTGCTCTGAAGACCTCCCAAGATACCTTCCCAGGAACCACCCAATGATCAGCTAGTCCCAGGCATATACCCTTCTAATTCGAAGAGGAAGAAAAGAGGCAGCACTTTATCACTGAGACATCCTCTGGACCCCATGGACAGGAGCCAGGCCAGGTGCTGGGCACCCCGCAAGCAGGCCCTGACCTAGGGGCTGGGGTTAAATGAATACTGGGCACTCTGCTGGGGGCCTCAGAGTGGAGCAGACCTGGCTATGTCACGCCTTAGTGTTGGCAGGCTTCCTGGAGGAGTTGCCCTAGAGAGAGGGGCTGGGCTCAGTCTGGAGAAGGGCATGGGACAGATGCAGTCGGGAGAGGTCCATGAACTGCTTGCTGGAGGCTCAGTCAAGAAGAGATGGGCTGGGGGCAAGGGTGGTGAAGCCCAGAGCTTGCTGTCCCCCGCGTCCCTGCCTTCCTCTGGCCTGGCAGACAGCCCCACCCCTGTGTTGTAGGAAATACAGGCACGACAGGGACCATCAACCCAGAGCTCTACACGTTCCTGCAGGACAAAAGTGAAACCGACTTCCCCGAGGGCTGCCAGGGGCGGCTGTGGTTCTCCGTGGAATACCAGCAGGAAGCCGAGCGGCTGCTGGTGGGCTTGATCAAGGCACAAAGGCTGCCAGCCGCCTCGGAGACCTGCAGCCCCCTGGTGAAGCTCCATCTGCTGCCCGACGAGCGGCGCTTCCTCCAGTCCAAGACCAAACACAAAACCTCCAACCCACAGTTTGACGAGCACTTCGTCTTCCAGGTACGACCTCTGGAGCAGACAGGGTCTGGCCTCCAGGGAAACAACAGATATTGTGCGGGTAAGCCCCAGCCTCCTGCGACAGCCAGGACCCTGCAGCCCCCAAAGGCCCCTAGTGCCACCAGCTCTGCTTTACCTGTCTGCCAGGTCAGGGTCTGCAAGAGCCCGGAGCCCTGATGGTGCAGGTAGGGGCGAGACCAGGGAGGTGAGGGTATAGAGAGCTGGGCTTCCTCTGTCAGGGAGAGAAAGAGAAAACACATTCTTGGCACACCTACTGAATGCCAGGCTCTGGCCCGTGGGGCTCTGGAGAAGCAGTCCAAAGCCCTGGAGCACTAGGGGGTTTCTGGCAAGGTGATCCCTGGAGCCGGGGCAGGAACTCGCCTAGCCTGTCGGAGGCCAGCGCAGGCCCCAAGAGCAGTGGGGCCACAGGTGGCACCTTGGCTGCCCCGAGGACAGGCAGGCTCAGGGTCTGGAGGTACAGAGTCTGTCAGGGCACTGAGCCAAGCCCACAGGGGCCTAGGAGCCTGAGCGGGTGACTGGGGGCCCTTATGGGCAACCAACCATCAAGAGCTGCCTTGAGGCCCTGGACAAACATTTGCAAGAGCCGGGTAGACGGCTGACTGGCCAGGTAAGGAGAGACCATTCGGCATCCAGGAAGAGTGTGATTGCTAAGCCAGAGCCCTAATTCTTTGCCTTCTTCCGGGCCCGAGAGCTGGAGCTGAAAAGAGAGCTGGCATGGGGCCCAGCTCCCGGCACTTTTGCTGAGGGTCAAGGCTGTGGGAATTCACAGGTGACCTTGCTTTTCTCAGGACATGAAGATCCAAGACATGTAGCCGTGCTGCCCAGCGTGGCTGCACGTCATGCTCACAAACTTATTTCTGTTTACTCATCACGTCCCTGCCCTGTCCCCACCCCAACTTGATCCTAGCCTCTCTGAGCTTTATGGGGGAAGGGGAAGGAGACGAGAAAGAGAAGAAAATCTAGGATGCCTGGGTTTGAGGGCTGCAGGTCCCTGGCTGAGCCACCTCTCACCAAAAGCTCCTGTGTCCAGAACAGCGTGCCACACCCTCCCATCCCCTGTCTCCGCGCCCGACCCCAGCCCAGACCCTCATCTCTCCCAGGTGTCCAGCAAGAGCATCACACAGAGGGTACTCAGGTTCTCCGTGTACCACGTGGACAGGCAGAGGAAGCACCAGCTCCTGGGCCAGGTGTTCTTCCCCCTGAGAAATGAGACTCTGGCAGGTGACTGCCCATGCGTCGTCTGGAGAGACCTGGAGGCCGAGAGCAGGGAGGTAAAGGTCAAGGTCACCTGGCATATACCGCTGCGTGTCAGACTACTGTGGGCAGCCAGTAGTGTGGCGCAGCGCCTGCTGGCCGGCATCAGCCCAAGCAAGTGTGACTCGGGGTCAGGGGCCTGGGCTGCAGCTGCACGGGACCGGGGGCAGGGTAGAGCTGCTCCTGGGCAAGGAAGGGCCACCTGAGGTTCTTTTGCCCTGGAGACCAGATTACCTGGAGCAACTTGATTCCCATCCAGACCAGACACCTGTGAAATGTGACACCCCAAATGGACCAGCCAAGGAAAATACTTACCCTCTCTTCTCCTGACCCCACCCCCACCCCAAGAGGACCCAGGCAGCTTGGAATAGGCTTTGGAATCCCCTAGACCTGGGTTTGAACCCTCAGCTCTGACCCTCACTACTATGTGATCTTCAGCAAGGCCCTTCGACTGTCCAGACCTCAGTTTACCCATCTGTAAAATGCCGGTGGGCTGAAAGGAGAAACCGTGGGTGTGTCACCCCGTACCAGTGCCTGACTGCTGGGAGGAGGGAGGAAGGCTGTCGGGAAGGTCCCATGGCTCCTCCAGCACCTGCTGAGTGACAAGGGTGCTTTCCCCTGGGCCTCTCCAGCCTCCCTCCGAGTTTGGAGACCTGCAGTTCTGTCTCAGCTACAATGACTGCCTGTGTCGCCTGACCGTGGTTGTGCTGCGAGCCAAGGGCCTCCGGCTCCAGGAGGACCCGAGTTTCGTCAGTAAGTTTTCCTTCTCAGGGCAGGCCCTGTTCTGTGAGCCTGGGGCCCAGGGCTGGAGTCTGACCCTTGCCTCTGGCCCTCCAGTTTCTGCCTGCATATGGCCCACCACGGAGTGCTCACTATCCCCTGTGATGTGGGAAGCCACTTCCTTATACTGAACCCAAGACTGAATCCCCTTGGCCTCCACCAAGACCCCTAACACGCCTGAGACCAAGTCTGCCCCCCCCCCCAGGGCAGTGTCTCGGTCCTTGAACGGTGCTGTCCTTCTGCCTCCACCTCTGTCCTTCCATGAAGGAGTCCAGTTCCTCCAGGGCTAGGGCCCTTGCCCCACCACCCCCAGGGAGGGCTCCCTGTACATGAGGCAGGACGCTCGGCTGGAAGAAGACGCATCCCAGGCCGGCAGGGAGTGTGGTGCCCTGCTTCCTCTGGCCTCCCAGAACCCAGCAGGTGGAGGCGTGGAGCCGAAACGTCCTGCCCTTATGTGCACCACCCCCCGCCCCCCCACCCCCGCCGCAAGGTGGTAGCTATCTGCCGCCTCTGCGTCTCCACATCTGGGTCACTGGAAGCAAGTTGTCATTCAACCTTCTACTGTGGATCCAAAACCCATGTGAGCCCCACCCCAAAAAAACTTGGTCCTCTGAAGGAGAAGGGGTTTGAGGTGCCCCAGGGAGCCTGAGCGCTCAGCAGGCAGGGCCCCTCCCCACCAATGGGAGGGATGGGCGTGTGGTGTGGTGCCAGGCTCTGGGAAACAAGGGCCAGCCGAGCCGTGGATGCACTCAGGAGACACAGAGGAAGGAAGAGGAAGGGAGGGAGCCAAGTGTTTCCTCGGGCGGGGTAAGCCCACACACTAATCAACCCTGTTTCCTCTTGCAATGCCCTCTGGCCGCAGCAGCTGGGAGAAATGGGGTCCTGGCGCCCAGGGTGGGCGTGTGCCCTCCCAGCCAGACCTCCCACGGGCCAGAGGCTGGACTCTGCCTGCCCCTCCCAGCCCACGGTCTGCACTGCCCCTTAGGTGTGTTTGTCAAAGTGTCTCTGATGAACCACAACAAGTTTGTCAAGTGCAAGAAGACTTCGGCTGTGCTGGGCTCCGCCAACCCCGTGTACAGCGAGACTTTCAGCTTCAGGGCCGACCCCGCAGAGCTGGACACGGCCAGCCTCAGCCTGACAGTGGTGCAGAGCGCCAGAGGGGAGAGTAAGGCCACCCCCCAACCCCCGGGCTGTGGGGGAAATGGGCAAAGGAGGAGCGTTCAGGCAGTATGGACCCACAGAGAGAAGTTTCTGTTCTCTGCCTAGGGAAACTAGAACTCAGAGAGGCTGAGATACCTGCCCAAGGACACAGAGCTTGCTAGCAGGAGAGCTGGGATTCACGCCCCGCTTTGTTCCAGTTTGACTTTCCGTGGCACCGTACGGAGAGGTTAAAGGGTGGCTTCTGCCACCCACTCCTGGAGCAAGCCACCAGAGAGTTTGGGAGGCGGCCTGGCTGCCAGCCACCAGCCAAGTGACCTGATGCTGAGGGTCGTTGTGTGCCCTACCTTGCCTCATACCTTCCAGACAAAACTTTAGGGTCCTGGGTGAGGTTCAGGGCGGGTGACAGGACACCATGTGTCCACTCGCAGCATCTGGGGGAGCAGAGCCATCGGGCTAGCTGGCCTCAAGGACCAGAGCTTCTGGCCCTTCTCCACCATGGCACTTGGTGGGAGAAAATTGTTGAATATTCCCTCTGAACATACAGTGGGCTGATGGAAGAGGGTTTCTTTCTGGAGGGGCCCCTTTCTCCCTCAGCTCTTTGACATGAGGTTGGCTTAAGAGTGGATGACCCCAAAGGGCTGGCTCTCCACCTGGGCACCCTCTCCCCCTATCTCCAATTCCAGAGCAAAGCCAGGATCCCTTTGGGGGCTGTCAGCTCGAGCTTAAAGAGGGAGGGGGCTGGCTCCGTCCTTTGAGAGGAGGAGTAAGAGAGAGAAAGGGAAGGCCCTGGGGGTGTTGCCGAGGTGAGGTGTTTTCTGTGCTCCAGAGAATGATGATGTTTTTCCCTCCCCCACAGACAGCCACCAGCTGGGCCGGGTGGTGGTGGGCCCCTACATGTACACCAGAGGCAGACAGCTGGAGCACTGGAACGAGATGCTCAGCAAGCCCAAGGAGCTGGTGAAGCGCTGGCATGCGCTCTGTCCCACCCCTGAGCCCTGACTCTGCTGGGACCTCCGGTCTGCCTCCAGAGTTTGCCCTCTCCCACGGCAGCCGCAGGCCTGGACGCTCCGGCCAGCATCCCACTGGGCTGCCAGGCCAGCCTGAGCCGGGGCAGTGTGCATGCTGATGTGCAGGAGAGAAGAGGGGACGAGAGAGCCCCAGCCAGGTCAGCAGCATGGCTGGCTGCCACCTGCCAGCCTCCGAGACCCTCCCGACTCACTCCATCCTCCTCCACCTGTGGGGCTGCCTGAGCTGCAAATCCCAACCCCTGGTCAGCACAGTCTCCGGCTGGACTGGAATCTCAGGCTTCAGTGATAGCATAGCTGTGTGTGCTGAGCAGAGACCCGGGCTCCACCATCCCAGAAAGCTGACGGCAGGTCGGCGCTGGACCTGCACCACGTCTCAGCTGTGGTTTCCCTAACTTTCACCTGGCAGAGAAAACAAACTGCTCTGGGGGCATCATGAGGGGCCAGGGGGGCCCAAAGCACTGATTTTAGCTGGTCCACAATAAATAGCACAGTCTGAAAATTGGGTTGGGGTTGGGCGTGTTGGTATGGAACAGCCCCCAGATGCCTGGGCGGCAAGCGTGCCCACGGCTCAGGAGAGAAAGCTCTCCCGGATCGAGACCCGCCGACTTCAGGAGCTGGGATAGAACACTGGGAGCAGTCTGCCCAGGTACTAAGGGGTGGACAGGTTCTCGGCTTCCGCTCCCTGTGCTAGGTGGGGAGGCCCTCACCTGTGTTGGGTCCCTCCCAGGGCTATGTCACATCCTGCCCATGGCCCGTCCTCCCCAGAGCCCAAGCCTCATGCCCCTGGTTTTACTGGTGTTCTACTGGTTTCTGTGGTCTCCCTGGTTGACAGTGTTCAGCTCTTGGGACTCACTTTGGGCAGGAAATGGTGAGAGCATGCAGCCAAAGCGCAGCCCACAGGGCCGAGAGCTTTTCCTGTAAACCTAGTGATTTCGTTAGGGTGACTGTGTTGTGGCAGGTGTCCATGTAAAGTTCATTAGGTTGAGAGTTCCCACAGATCATAGTCATCACCTCCCTGTGACACTGTACTCTAGGTAATGAGCCTTCATTGTGCTTGTCACTGTTACTTAACAGGCAGTTTGTATTTTCACCCAAATGCTTTTGAACTTGCAGGGTCAATACGTTGTGACTGTATACCTGGAACAAACTTCAAACCAGTCTCTTTTCTTATGCAGTGAAGCAACTTCAGCAAAAGAAAGTAGTGATCATTATACTAGGTCTGTGCCTCTTTGACTTCACTTCCGATCTCTGTCGATGCACAAAGCCAAGCTTTACCTGGCAGTGGTCCGTACAGACAGAATATCTTGTGTTTGCTTTTTCTCACTTATTTCACACACACATTCCAACAAAGCCCACGCTCCGGTCATTTATAAGAGCATCATAGCACACACGTCCTCTGTACGTTGGTCTAGCAGGCTACTAAACTGGAACTGTTTCCATGTCACCTGGGTCCCCGAGACAAGAGATGCCAACCACCCCCACATTTCAAGGTGACGTTCATGCCTATCCGTGGCCTTTCCAGGGCCACTTGGAAAGGTTGGTAAGTGTCCCCTTTGCAGGACAGAGTGAACTGATGTGTCTGACTCACAGTTGAAAAATCTCAATGGCAAGAGACTGACAGGCTCTCTGCTCTGATGGAGAGGAAGAAGGGGTTGCTGTATTGGGCTAAAATGTCTACAGACACGGTCAGAGCAAAAAATACACAAGTGTTTCCAATGGACCAGAGAGAGCTGGCCTGAGTTGTCTCAATCCTGTCCACCAGGTGATCCCTGCATTTCCACTCTGCATTTCCACAAAGCATTTTAGAATCAGTTTATCAATTACCACACCAAAAAAGTGCTGGAGTTTGACTAGATTTTCATTGAGTATATAGTCCAGTTTGGGAGCCATTTTATATCCCTACAATATTGACTCTTCAATCCATTAACATAGTATATCCCTCCGTTTCCTTTGGTCAATCTCTCTTTACCTCCAATTTTTAATGGTATTGATATCAATCATCTAAATTCCACATATACCTTACACCTAGCAAGACATTACTATTATTACTGTGTTCAGTCAATATTCATTTATATTCACCCACAGAGTTGTACTTTGTTTTGTTTTTCATTCTTTCCTGCATTTCTGGGATTCTACCTGAGATCATGTTCCTCCTACTTGAACTCTTTTTAGTATTTCTTTTAGTGCAGATCTGCTCACAGTGCATTTTCCTAGTTTTTGAATAGAAATGTCTATTTCAAATTCATTTTTAAAGGATTTTTTTGTGGAAATAGAATTCTGGGCTGACATTTTCTGTCTGAAGTTTAAAAATGGTGTTCATTGTCTTTTTACTTCCATCATTTCTGTTGACAAGTGAGTTATCAATGCTATTGTTTCTCCTTGGAAAGTAATGCATCTCCCTCTCCTTCCCACCCTTAGCTGCTTTTAATATTTTCTCTTAATCTTTGGTTATCAGCAATTTGAGTATGGTATACCTTAGGCAATTTTCCTTTTTTTTTTAGTTTTTTTTTTTAAGATTTTATTTATTTATTTTGATGGGGGGGGAACACTAGCAGGGGGAGTGGGAGAGGGAGAAGCAGACTCCCTGCTGAGCAGGGAGCCCGACACGGGGCTCGATCCCAGGACCCCGGGATCATGACCTGAGCCGAAGGCAGACGCTTAACGACTGAGCGACCCAGGCGCCCAGGCAATTTTCCTTTTATTTATCCACCCTGGGAGTAATAAAGCTTCATCAGTTTTGGAAAATATTCAGCCCATATTTCTTCAGATATGATTTCTGCCCCTTCTTCCTCTCCTCTTCATCTGAGATTCCAGTCATACACCCATTAGATCTTCAGCCACCTCCCGCAGGACTCCTGCTCACTGTGCTGCATTTTCCACTCCCCTTACACCTGTGCTTCAGCTTAGAGTTTTTATACTGCCCTCTTACATTTTACTAAATCTTTCTTCTGCTAAGTCTAATTGTGGTTAACCTATATGCTAAGTCCTTAATTTCAATTACTGCATTTTTCAGTTCTAAATTTCCATTTGATGCTTTGTGATCAATTCCAGTTCTCTGATGAAAGTCTCTGTTTTGTCAATCACATCAATATCTGTGTCATCAGTGGGTCAGTTTTATTGTGTATGTTTTCCCCCTTTGGTCCCGTCACTTGGAGTGTTTGACAATATATGGTCTAATGCTGACCATTATGATAAATTATAGTAGCTCCAGGAGACAGTATTCCTCCAGAGAGGGTTTACTATATCCTCTGGTTGACAGAATGGGGAGAGGTCACCTTAATCTAGTCTGGTAATGAATTAACTGGAGTCTGGTTTGCAGGGTTTTTGTTGTTGTTGTTTTTAAAGAGAGGGCACAAGTGGGGGGAGGGCAGAGGGAGAGGGAGAGTCAGGCTCCACTCTCAGCGTGAAGCCAGACTCGGGGCTCAATCCCACAACCCTGAGATCATGACCTGAGCCGAAATCAAGAGTCAGACACTTAACTGACTGAGCCACCCTGGTACCCCTAGGTTGCGGTTTTTGTAAGGCTCTATAACCACTTCTGGTTTTCCCCCATTTTTAGGGTGTAGTCTTCCAAGGATACCATTTGGATCACCAAGTGAGGATCTGGTATGTTTACTAGGCTTCTTTTCCTTGGTGGGCTCTAAACTCCAATCTTTATCCCCTCAGTGTCATGCTATTGTCACAAAAAGAAAAGAAAAAGAAAAGCCCTGCCATCTTTCATGGGCTTTCTGCATAAATAATTCACAGCTTCATAATTCAGCAAATGCCTCAAAGGAAAAACCCCTAAGTGTCAGAATTACTCTTCTATCTCCTTTCTATTCAACATCTTGCCTCTTCAGTCCCAGCTGCTTTGGCAACCCCAATCTTCAATTTCTTGTCTCTCCAACTCCAGACACTCTGCCGCTGCCTTTAATGTCTCTTAGCCATGGCTCTCTGTGCAAAAGGCCAGCTCCTCAATGAGAATCAAGGCATTTCCTGAAAGAAAAAGTGGTTCTCAGAATGTCAGCTCACCTCCTTGTGTTTTCCTTCTTCTGAGATCACGGCCTATCAGCTTGTCAATTTGGCAGCTCTCCAGTAACTTAAAAAGAGGTTTTCTGTATTTTATTCAGTTTTTCTAGTCGTCTATCAGCATGAACATCACTCTACCCCACACAGAAAAGTAACATTTTTCTTAGAAATCCCAAAAAAAGAATTATCAGCAAAGACTGATTTTATATAGGGAATTTGATTACATAATTCGTGGGAAGGCGGTGACGCCAAAAGGAGAAAACTTGCTTGTATCAGTTAGCCGTTTTCGTAGTAATGGCGCACAACAAGCAAACACAACATCCTAATGGTTTATACAGGGAATTTGATTACACAATTCGTGGGAAGGCTGGTGACGCCAAAAGGAAAAAAGTTGCTTCTGTCATCTGTTTTTGCAATAATCGCACACAACAATCACAATGTCTGTGTTGTTCTAAAATGAGCATTTATTTCTCATCCATCTATGGCCAGCTGAGTGTGAGCCCACCTACATTAGGCAAGTCGCTTTCAAGCAGTGTGTCTGGCTGGGTTCGGCTCCGCTCCCCGCTCCGCATTTGTTCATTATGAGCACAAGCTGAAAGGGCAACAGCTCCCCGGGGCGGGTGGGGGGGGGGTGTCTTTTTGTGGAGAAGGCAGAAGGGCAAGCACAGCTCTATCTTCTGCTGGTGTTTACTTAATATCTCATTGGCTGAGCCATGTTGTGTGGCCAAGTTCAAAATCAAGGGACAGGGAGGCAAACTATGCCTTTTTATGAGAGGAACTGCAGGCTACGTAGCAGTGGACATAGCTGCAGGGAGGAGTGGAGAATTGGGGTGGTGATTCAGTGCACTTTACTGATGTGCTCTAGAAATGGGGACCCTCCGGGGGCCTGTGTGTGGCTGTGCAGGGCTCTCAGGGATGGGGAGACCTCGGACTGGGCGTCTGCGGCCGGGCCTCAAAGCCGCT